AGAAACAACGTACGAAAAACAACGTACGGGAAACAAAGTACGGGAAACAACGTACGAAAAACAACGTACGAAAAATAACGTACGGGAAACAAAGTACGAGAAACAACGTACGAAAAACAACGTACGAAAAACAACGTACGAAAAACAACGTACGGGAAACAAAGTACGAGAAACAACGTACGAAAAACAACGTACGAGAAACAACGTACGAGAAACAACGTGCGAGAAACAACGTACGAAAAACAACGTACGCGAAACAACGTACGATAAACAAAGTTCGAGAAACAACGTACGAGAAACAACGTACGAGAAACAACGCACGAGAAACAACGTACGAGAAATAACGTACGGGAAACAACGTACGAGAAACAACGTACGAGAAACAACGTACGAGAAACAAAGTACGAGAAACAACGTACGAGAAACAACGTACGAGAAACAACGTACGAGAAACAACGTACGAGAAACAAAGTACGAAGAAACAAAGTTTCGAGAAACAACGTACGAGAAACAACGTACGAGAAACAACGTACGAGAAACAACGTACGAGAAACAACGTACGAGAAACAAAGTACGAGAAACAAAGTACGAGAAACAACGTACGAAAAACAATGTACGAGAAACAACGTACGAAAAACAACGTACGAAAAACAACGTACGGGAAACAAAGTACGGGAAACAACGTACGAAAAACAACGTACGAAAAACAACGTACGGGAAACAAAGTACGAGAAACAACGTGCGAAAAACAACGTACGAGAAACAACGTACGAGAAACAACGTATGAGAAACAACGTACAAGAAACAAAGTACAAGAAACAACGTACATAAAACAACGACGGTATATTGACCACAAGTTTCTTAACGACGTTCTGGTCTCTTAGTTTCTAGCAGATTTATGTTAGATAAATTAAGGTGAGATTATATTATTTATATTATATAAGCTTAAGTTAGGTTAGGTTGGTTATATTAATATGTTAGATAAAGTTAGGTTAGGTTATGTTATTATGTTAGATAAAGTTAGGTTAGGTTATGTTATTATGTTAGATAAAGTTAGGTTAGGTTATATTATTATGTTAGATAAAGTTAGGTTAGGTTATGTTATTATGTTAGATAAAGTTAGGTTGGTTATATTATTATGTTAGATAAAGTTAGGTTAGGTAATGTTATTATGTTAGATAAAGTTAGGTTAGGTTATATTATTATGTTAGATAAAGTTAGGTTGGTTATATTATTATGTTTAGATAAAGTTAGGTTAGGTTATTTATTATGTTAGATAAAGTTAGGTTAGGTTATATTATTATGTTAGATAAAGTTAGGTTAGGTTATATTATTATGTTAGATAAAGTTAGGTTGGTTATTATTATGTTAGATAAAGTTAGGTTGGTTATATTATTATGTTAGATAAAGTTAGGTTAGGTTATATTATTATGTTAGATAAAGTTAGGTTAGGTTATGTTATTATGTTAGATAAAGTTAGGTTAGGTTATATTATTATGTTAGATAAAGTTAGGTTGGTTATATTATTATGTTAGATAAAGTTAGGTTGGTTATATTATTATGTTAGATAAAGTTAGGTTGGTTATGTTATTATGTTAGATAAAGTTAGGTTGGTTATATTATTATGTTAGATAAGTTAGGTTGGTTATATTATTATGTTAGATAAAGTTAGGTTAGGTTATATTATTATGTTAGATAAAGTTAGGTTAGGTTTATGTTATTATGTTAGATAAAGTTAGGTTAGGTTATATTATTATGTTAGATAAAGTTAGGTTGGTTATGTTATTATGTTAGATAAAGTTAGGTTGGTTATATTATTATGTTAGATAAAGTTAGGTTGGTTATGTTATTATGTTAGATAAAGTTAGGTTGGTTATATTATTATGTTAGATAAAGTTAGGTTGGTTATATTATTATGTTAGATAAAGTTAGGTTGGTTATATTATCATGTTAGATAAAGTTAGGTTAAGTTAGGTTATATTAAAGACTAAAACTCGTGTTCGGCGCTTAGAGACATTTATTGTCGAAACGTTTCTCCTGCGTAGCAGACTTCTTCAGTTAAATACAGACCATTATAAAACTGGAGAAATGAAGAGGTAGTTTGACGTGATCAGTCCCTCAGCCTTGATGGTCAGTCTCAGGCTGAGGGACTGATCTCCTCAGAATTACCTCTCCACTCCTACTGTCTTCATTATTGTAATCACCTCTATATTCGACTGAAGACGCCTGCTGCGCAGACGAAACGTTTCAACAATAAAGATTTCTAAGTACTGCGCATGTGTCTTGCTCACCAGTTTTTCGTCTTTATATTCCATTAATAGGTTAGGTTAGGTTAGGTTAGGTTAGGTTAGGTTAGGTTAAGTTAGGTTAGGTTAGGTTAGGTTAGGTTAGGGTTTAGGTTTAGGTTAGGTTAGGTTAGGTTAAGGTTAGGTTAGGTTAGGTTAGGTTAGGTTAGGTTAGGTTAGGTTAAGTTAGGTTAGGTTAGGTTAGGTTAGGTTAGGTTAGGTTAGGTTAGATTAGGTTAGGTTAGGTTAGGTTAGGTTAGGTTAGGTTAGGTTAGGTTTTAAATTAGGTTAGGTTAGGTTAGGTTAGTTAGGTTAGATTAGGTTAGGTTAGGTTAGGTTGGTTAGGTTAGGTTAGGTTAGGTTAGGTTAGTTAGGTTAGGTTAGGTTAGGTTAGGTTAGGGTTAGGTTAGGTTAGGTTAGGTTAAGTTAGGTTTTGTTAGGTTAGGTTAGGTTAGGTTAGGTTAAGTTAGGTTAGGTTAGGTTAGGTTAGGTTAGGTTAGGTTAGGTTTGGTAGTTAGGTTAGGTTAGGTTAGGTTATTAAGTTAGGTTAAGTTAGGTTTAGGTTAGGTTAGGTTAGGTTAGGTTAGGTTAGGTTAGTTAGGTTAGGTTAGGTTAGGATTTAGGTTAGGTTAGGTTAGGTTAGGTTAGGTTAGGTTAGGTTAGGTTAGGTTAGGTTAAGTTAGGTTAGGTTTAGGTTAGGTTAGGTTAGGTTTGGTTAGGTTAGGTTAGGTTAGGTTAGGTTGGGTTAGGTTAGGTTAGATTAGGTTAGGTTAGGTTAGGTTAGGTTAGTTAGGTTTAGGTTAGGTTAGGTTAGGTTTTATAGGTTAGGTTAGGTTAGATTAGGTTAGGTTAGGTTAGGTGGTTAGGTTAGTATTAGGTTAGGTTAGGTTAGGTTAGGTTAGGTTAGGTTAGATTAGGTTAGTTAGGTTAGGTTAGGTTAGGTTAGGTTGTTGATTAGGTTAGGTTAGGTTTAGTTAGGTTAGGTTAGTTGTTAGGTTAGGTTAGGTTAGGTGTTAGGATTAGGTTAGGTTAGGTTAGGTTAGGTTAGGTTAGGTTAGGTTAGATTAGGTTAGGTTAGGTTAGGTTAGGTTAGGTTTAGGTTAGGTTAGGTTAGGTTAGGTTAGGTTAGGTTAGGTTAGGTTAGGTTAGGTTAGGTTAGGTTAGGTTAGGTTAGGTTAGGTTAGGTTAGGTTAGGTTAGGTTAGGTTAGGTTAGATTAGGTTAGGTTAGGTTAGGTTAGGTTAGGTTAGGTTAGATTAGGTTAGGTTAGGTTAGGTTAGGTTAGGTTAGGTTAGGTTAGATTAGGTTAGGTTAGGTTAGGTTAGGTTAGGTTAGGTTAGGTTAGATTAGGTTAGGTTAGGTTAGGTTAGGTTAGGTTAGTTAAGTTAGGTTAGTTAGGTTAGGTTAGGTTAGGTTAGGTTAGGTTAGGTTAGGTTAGGTTAGGTTAGGTTAGGTTAGGTTAGATTAAGTTAGGTTAGGTTAGGTTAGGTTAGGTTAGGTTAAGTTAGGTTAGGTTAGGTTAGGTTAGATTAGGTTAGGTTAGGTTAGGTTAGGTTAGGTTAGGTTAGGTTAGGTTAGGTTAGGTTAGGTTAAGTTAGGTTAGGTTAGGTTAGGTTAGGTTAGGTTAGGGTTGCTTGGGTTAGGTTAGGTTAGGTTAGGTTAGGTTAGGGTTGCTTGGGTTAGGTTAGGTTAGGTTAGGTTAGGTTAGGTTAGGTTAGGTTAGGGTTGCTTGGGTTAGGTTAGGTTAGGTTAGGTTAGGTTAGGTTAGGGTTTGCTTGGGTTAGGTTAGGTTAGGTTAGGTTTACGTTACGTTACGTTACGTTAGGTTAGGTTAGGTTAGGTTAGGGTTGCTTGGGTTAGGTAACGTTGGGTAAAATTAGGCTAGATTAGTAGCTTCCGTATTTTAGTGTGGGAGTGGGTGGTAGTTGTGGTTGTGGGTGGGGACTGTGAGTTGTGGGTGGTAGTTGTGGTTGTGGGTGGTGACTGTGAGCGTGGGTGGTAGTTGTAGTTGTGGGTGGTGACTGTGAGCGTGGGTGGTAGTTGTAGTTGTGGGTGGTGACTGTGGGTTGTGAGTGATAGTTGTGGTTGTGGGTGGGGACTGTGGGTTGTGGATGGTGGTTGTGGGTTGTGACTGTGGGTTGTGGGTGGTGGTTGTGGGTGGTGACTGTGGGTTGTGGGTGGTGGTTGTGAGTGGTGATTGTGGATTGTGAGTGTAGATGTGTGGGTGGGTGGTATTAGTTTGTTATGGGTGGTGGGTGGCGTGGGTGGTGGGTGGCGCGGGTGGGTAGCTCTTGTCCTGCAGTGATCCAGGTTGAACAGCTCTTGGTCTATTTTTGGTATCTTCTGCTACTGGAACATTTTGGAAGCTTGGGTTGTGTTTCCCATGACCCTAATGTCACCCCTCCTTCAGACTCATGACGTCAGCCCTTCTACAAGACCAAATTCTCTGAACGAAGTAGATTCCCAGTCTGGAGCGCCACGCTGATTGGTCAAGCCGTTGACGTCAAAGGCGTCCTGTGACCCCATTGGTGGCACGAGAGCGTAACAATCAATAGTTTAGGGAAGGCGCAACCAATCACGGCAGACGTTACATTCCCATCCGCTCTGAATAGATGAAAGAAAGTGTGAATCGGAACGCGTAGGAGGATGGTGTGCGCGCATGCCAGACAGGTATATAAGGCATGGAGAGAGACGTGCGTTCACTCATAATCACAGAGCAACAAGGAAGTGACTCGCAACACAAGGACACATCAGCGCCCCGACTCTCGCAGCAACACTCACCGTCTTGTGTTACTCTCTGGACTTGAGAAACTTTGTAAACAAAGTGAGAAACTTATTAGTGATACGTGACAGGGCCAAGCTACTCTTGGGAACTTGTTAATTATAAAGGTAAGAATATTGTGTGTGTATATGTGTGTGTGTGTGTGTGCAGAGAGAGAGACTTCAACGCTGGTGGTGGTAATGTCTGCTGAGCGCTGCTGCTCGCCGGGCTGTATATTAACGTACATTCCTCTCACATATTCTTTACCATTTACATACCTGAAAACACATGCATAAGTTTAACTAGGACTGTTACGTTTTGTCTCAATACACGGTTATATGTGGGATTAACTGGGCTATCTCCCTGCACAAAATTATATGTTACTCTCGAAAAGAAAGTTAGTATTTGCTTCCACATGTGTGTTCTAAAGTGGAATATAACTAGTGTTGTACATGTTCACCCAGGTAGCAGCCCTCACAGTTATCTAGGTGACGGGGTTAGGGTTTCCTCAGGAAAAAGTCTCCTGAAGTGTATTGTTATTTGATGATTCTCTCTGGGAAAGAGTTGTTGTTTATCAAGAATTACGAAGTCACATTATCGTTGAGGGAACAGTTCACCAAAGTTCTTCATTTAGGAGAGGAACATTATGACGCTGTTTCGCTCTCTCCTTGACCATTGTCAGGCCACAACGAACTTGACAATGGCGCTGTGACTTGACGAACCGAAACGTCGTCATAAGGTTCGTCTTCTAAGTGTGGGTTTGTGGTGCGGTGGTTCAAGGATAGAGCCGAGGTAAGATGCGCTCTCTGACGCGTTGTAGCGTAGGTGAGAGTTAACACAGACTCGACATCACTCAGGTAATTGTTGATCTTATGTTAAGCTACGACAGCAGAAACCCACCCTTCCCCAGTCCCCGGTCTGAACGCTATCTGAACGCCTCACACC